ATGCATTTTCTCACTAAAAACAGCGTGCAACAGGGTTTCAACCTTCGGGGTGCCCAAAGTTCTTTTTCGGATACTCAAACATTCTTGACAGGTTACCCAAATCATTGGTTGTTCGGTTTGAAAGAAAGCGAACCCATCTCGAGCTCACCCATGTCCCGTCCAAGGTTTGGTGACCCTAAGCGTCGGCGGTGACCCTTAAAAAGTTGAAATCTAGTGATCACCGGTCTCCCCCCTGTGTGATACAAGGATAAATAAATTATATTGAAATACCCCAGTAAGTGGCCAGGACTGATCACAGCAGGGGTCAGAGTAACAGTGGGTTAGGGTTTGAAAGGGACGGCTGAAAGAGGAGAAGCGTGATATCATAAGTAGTCTCGGACTCTTCCTCTGCTGTAAGCGTTTGCCGCACCTGATATGTAGGATTAGCATCAATTATTGACGACCGTTTGCGTAGGAGATATGCAGGCTACCGAAATCGGTAGTTTCGTGAATTCTCAGGAGCAGAAGGATGTAATAAAGCTGCCCTTTCTTTCCCGCATACCATTTCGTTGTGATGAGATATGTGTTTGTAAAAAGGTGATAAAAAAAGATTGATAATCGGATACCGTATATGTTCAAAGACACTTCTCTTCTATGATACGCTCTCTATTGTATCTATTATATCATAACTAATCTTGATCAAAAAGTCTCCTATTCTAATGTGGGAAGTGATTAAATCATGAGATATCACTCGATTAATCTGAGAGTGGGCTCCAAAGTATCCCACCTCAACGTGGTATTTGGGCCCCCGACTCAACACTCCGTATGCCCCCTCACATAAAACCAACCTCCTGCGAAAGTTACACAGCCTTTTGTATAAAACCGGCATAAAGTATCCTTCAAGTCATATGGCGGTAATCTAAGAGGAAGTGTGATAGGAGGGATATTGATTTGTTTTTTTAGGGTTTCTGTCTTACCTAATCTTGTCCGCCCCATCTATGTTCTATTCGGAGAAATGTGTCGCACCATATCATACAGATTCTAGAATTAGAAAATATACACTTTCTATCGTAGCCCCCAAGCAGCCTACCCGATAAACGGGATATACTATACTATCGGTAAAGTAAACCCCAATTTGTCCAGTCATAAAAGAAGGGAGAAAGTAGCGAGCGAGTGACGGGGTATGAAGAGAGGGGATATTTCAATGAATCAGAAGGGTAGTTGAACCTTAGTGCTAGCAACACTACTGTATATTGGGTGGTAGCGCATTTCTAGGAAACTGTGTCAGTAGTTTTATAGACAAGAGTTCTCTTCCTTCAGTCACCTCTGTGCTTCTCCGCGTCGTTTCCAAAACTTCCATAGCTTTTTGCGAACTATCATATGTTGAATCCATCTAACCTCCTTCACCTGTGCGAATTGCAAGATCAGCGCGCAATCCCTTATTTATAATTCCCCCCCACTGGAAGCTTATCCAAACATCGCCTTACGATAAGAAACCCCTAATTTATCCTAATTTTTCATCCCTGAAGCTGGGTGCCCCCACACCCTCATGCTTCCAACCCTGGTGTACTACTTATCGGTATGGTGGAGGTTGGGTATTTCGTGAGTGCTAATGGTTTTTGGCGACTAGCTCACCCATAGCCGTATGAAGATCCCTTTTGTTGTCGCGTTCATACTGGGAGCTTATTCAGGCTATCTCAGGAAAATTGCCAACAGGTGAGTCCCCGCTACCGAGCCCGATAGGAGAATGCTCGGGGATCACATACACAGCATTTGTGCTGAGCTGAGCGAAGCCATGTAGTGAATTCCTGATATGTCTCCAAGGTAAATGGGGATCTTGGTCTCTGTTAAGCGTCACAGCTAAGAAATAGTTAAAGAGGCATTGTTGATAGAGGAAAAAGTTGTTGGTACTGGAGGCTGTGAAGGGTGATAGGATGCAGTGGTCGATTCTAAAAGTTGCGGGAGTCTGGTGTATCATTTTGGAGAGTGATGGATTGTTGTAGAGCTCTGGCGGTTTCCGAGGAAGGTTATCCAGACATGTCCTCCTTTGTCATAGCGGGAGTGTGTCGAGGGGTGGGGATATTGGTGGTGACAGGTAGGTTCGTTGATTGATGAGAGGATCAGGATAGTACGCTTGTCTGTCTTTACCGCTAGTTTAGTTTTGTGGGTAGGCATGAGGACAAGAAAAGAGCGAAGTTTACGACCGTACCTTCCCCATCTTCTCAACAGCGTACCCAAGTTTCAAATGAACCCTCTCACTCCATCACTGCGCCATCTGTCCACCACCTTAATAGTCAGCAGTAGAGCGCTGTATTCGAGTAGATCGAGTGGAGATTCGCTCGCGAGAATCCGCAAAACATTTAAACTTTTTTGGCTAGGATTGGTGAATGGTCTAACCGATCGCCACAATATTCAAGCTGTAAATGCGAGCCTTTTTGTCGAGGGGGTGGTTAGCTGGCCAAAGAGATATCCCCTTGACCAAGTGAATCCCCTGAGGACTAGGATAGAATATATTCACAGTGGATGTTTAGACATTTAAAGACCATAGGAAACCTCTCATTTTCTAAGAATTCTGGCTTGCAAATACTATTGAACAATCTGAGTTCTGCGATATCTCGAGCGAGCTCTGCACGCAGCGTACTGTCCACCAGCCCGGCAGGTTATCTGTAGCTGTTCGAGCTGACCTTCCAAAGCATCAATTCAACCTGCTACATTAAGGACCAATTTCTACTGACCACAGTTCTGGCCCGTAATAACTTTGTAAATACTTTGGAGACGACTTAACTTTAAGTCTACGCAAACACCCTAAATGTAGAAACATAGGTAGGGCCAAAAACCCACAACCCATCGACCCGGAACCTCCGCACGTATTAACTATCGCCAAACCTAAACCTAAAGCCTAGAATATTTTCAGTGTAGTCACGTACCGAAACTTCAGTGGCGGCAGAAAAAAACATTATATAAAGGCCCGCAGTCTCCCACTCTTCTTCTTTCCTCCCCAGAAATTTCTGTTCTCATCTGCACACATAAATTTCTATTTTTCTTTACCTGCTTCCTTACTGCTATCAACACATCTTTACTCTTTCTGAACATCTTTAGCTCTATCTCCTCTGTGAGAAAAGACTTAGATACCCAAACCTTCTCTCCCCATTATACCCAAGAAGTACATTCAATGTCTTCTTTCTCTTTCTCTTCCGCTGTGAGCGCTTTTGTACTTGCTTTCATTTATCATTTTTTCTTCGAGTTTTTCTTTTCCCATGCAAGCACTATCCCTTTCGTGCTTGTATGGCTTGCTGCTTTCCCTTTAATTGTTACTTACATTTTTGTCCCAGAGGAACTCATTGCGAGATTCATTTCTGGCCTCCCCGGCGCTGTGTTTGACTATCTCTTCGATTATATCTTCGAAGACTTCATCGCAGCGTATGAGGGTAGGATTGTTGTCCCCCCTGCACCTGTTCCTGCTTGTTCCCCCATCCGGTCGCACAAAACTCCTCTCTCCGTTGTGATTGGGATTTTGCACCATGTTGATACCCCTTCCCCTCCCCCTCGCAAGAAGCTACAAGCTGAGGATATTCTCCCAGCTTCATATCCTGCTTCTTTCCCCTCTTCCCCTCCCCCTCCCTCTCCCCCTCCTGCTGTTGTTCCCCCTGCTCCTGGTCGTGTTCGCAAGATCAGGATGTGTTGTCTTCCAGCTTTTGAGAAGTAGTAGTTGTTTTGCTGTTTTATTTTCCTATGTTTTGTTCTGCGATGCTTTGTGTTTCTTTTTTCTTTCTCCCCTCCCTTGATTTTTGTTCTAACGGGTTGCCAACTTGTTGGCCTACTGACATGGGCGTTATTTAGGTACCCCAGCTAGGATTATCACCTTGACGTGGTGCTGGGGCTTTAAACTAAGAATAATCCACCGCAAATGAATTGAGAATTGCTACACTAGTCTCGGAGGAGAAGAAAAAAACTGAACTCATGAAATATCACTTTAGGGTCTCGGGAGTAGTTTGTGTTATAATTCCTGATTGGTGTTGTATTTCTTGATAGTTCCTGCCCCCGAGGGTCCATAGGGTCTTTATTTATGCTAATATAGGGAGGTAGGCTAAAACAATATATAATATATACGGTATTTAAGAAAAAAGGAAAAGTCGACAACGGTGTTGCATAATGCAATGGTAACAGAAAGGAAAAGCGAGCAAGATAATTAAACTAGTGGTATGATAGAGTTTCTGTACCAGTCTTGGAGTTAAATGTCGGAATACGGTAATAAATTTCATAAGAGTCGGCTGGCTACCCGGCCTTAGCGTTTTCTTGTGGTGGCCGTGACGAATACAATGCGGTGAGGAACATAACCACTTTACGTTACCCTACCTTGACGCTTTCACTTTTGCTCGCCAGGTACTGTACCCCTGTTCGTCACGTCTTTTGGTACATTCGAGTACGAGTAATTGTGCATGCAATACATCAATTGAGCTATCTGCTTCTACCATCACTTCCGTTTCCGGTTTCATTTCCAAGCGTGAGTGCTATTAATTAATGCCTTGCCAAAGCTTATCCGGAGTTTTTCTGGCCGGGATGCCAGGAGCATGGTTTCTCGGGCCGGGTAAGCCCGGTACAGTACCTGGATATGGTGAGAGACATCTGTAGCCCGAGCGTTTTTCAAGAAAAATGTGGAGCAGGTTCAATCCCCGAAGGATTTTCAACAACCACTCCCATGGGAATTATGGCTTTATTAGATGACAAAGTATGTGATGCACTGCACACTTTCAGAGAGAAAATAAAGTATCTCAAGTTTTCAAGGAGATATTTGGATTTAAAAGTAGGTTGAGCTTTTTGTGGAGGTTGATGAATTTCTAAGACATATTAATGACTGTTAATTTCCTTGGCGCATACAGTTAACCGTCAATTCCTAGGACATTATCCTGTATTAATACGATGCTTGGCACATGAACATGTTATTACTAAACCTGTATAGATGTCCGCATGCTCCAGCTACACAGGTCCCTCACCATACCCCTGTAGATCCCCTATTGTCCGAGGACGACAGGACCTTTCCATGCTTTCTCCCCACCCGTAACGCACGATAAGATACATTGTACGAGTTCTTGCTTCCGTTTGTTTTTCTACCGTTGATATATATCCCCCTGATCCGAGTGTTAACATTGAATCATCTCAACCTATTCCAGGAACCCAAACAATGTATAGCAAAACCGTTCAAGGGGATCTCCCTACCACTGAGCTTGCTCGTTGGCGTCTCAAGACAGAGGATGGCCGTCAAACATGGCATTACCTTAAGACTGACGAGGAAGTTGCTGCATGGCCTCAGTCTGTTGCCGATAAGTACCATCTCGGTCTCCCAACTGTATGGCTCATGTCCCTTCTCCCCTTTTTTTCGTCGCTGGTATCTGATTTGTGTATAGGACCTCCCCATATTACCAACACCGGGTACACCCTTGGATGCTGCACGAAATGGCCTGTCATTTTTCTCCAAGCTTCAACTCTCCGAGGGGCAATGGGCATGTGAATACGGTGGCCCAATGTTTCTTCTACCAGCAACTATGATTGCCTACTTTGTTACTAATAGCGAAATCCCGGAAGAGTGGAGGATTGAAATACAACGCTATCTTGCTGCTCGGGCACACCCCGAGGATGGAGGTTGGGGATTACACATTGAGGGCGAATCAACTGTTTTTGGTACCGCTCTCAACTACGTGGTTCTTCGTATCGTTGGGATGTCACCAGATCACCCCGTTTGTATCAGGGCACGGAAGACACTTCATTCTCTTGGAGGAGCCTTGCAATCTCCACTGTGGGGGAAGGTCATGCTATCGTTGATGGGATGCTACAGGTGGGAGGGTGTGAATCCAATCCCACCAGAGTTGTGGCTACTGCCGAATTGGGTGCCATTTCATCCCTGGAGGTGGTGGGTACATAATCGGCAAGTCTTCTTGGCTATGTCCTATCTCTACTCGTTGAAGAAGGCTCGGCCTGTTGATGATATTACAATCGCCCTCCGGAAAGAATTGTATGTTGAATCCTATGATTCGATTGATTTCTCCCTACACAGGAACACGGTTGCCCCGAAGGACATCTACCATCCGCACACTAAGGCTTTGGATGCGTTGAATGAGATCTTGGCGGTATGGGGGAAATGGATTTGCCCCAGCAAACTGCAGGAGATTGCTCGTAATCACGTCTACAAACTCATCAAGCTTGAGGACGAGAATTCTGACTATTGCTGCCTCGGGCCTGTGAACAATCCCCTGAACTTTGTCGCGCGTTACTTCACAGAAGGCGAGAGCCATGCTGTAAATATGCACCGGGAGACAATTAAGGACTTTTTATGGATGAAGAACGAAGGGATGTTGGCCAACGGTACTGATGGCGTACAATGTTGGGATACAAGCTTTCTCATTCAGGGTGTTATCGAATGCGGGTTCGGTGAAGATCCCCAGTATAGGGATATGCTTATCAAGGCATTGCAGTTTCTCGATACTCAGCAAATTAGGGAGGAGCCGAAGGAGAAGGATTTCTCTTATCGCCAGCAACGTAAAGGCGCCTGGCCATTTAGTAAGAGGGCGCAAGGATACACTGTCTGTGATACCACCGCCGAGGGACTTAAATCAGTTCTTCTACTTCAGGACGTCCCGTATAGTTCCCCACTTTAAGTTCAAGTAGACAAAAGCTGACAGTAATGATCATTAGCGGTATGCCAAAGTTGGTCTCTGACGAGCGCCTTCAAGATAGTGTCGAAGTCCTTCTCACCATGCAGAATGCCAATGGCGGATTCGCCAGCTACGAACTTATCCGTGCTGGCCCATGGCTGGAATCCCTCAATGCTGCCGAAGTATTCGGCCGTATCATGGTGGAATATCCGTATCCTGAATGCTCGACCGCAACCATTATGGGTCTTCAGCAGTTCGTCAAGACCTACCCCAATCATCCACGAAGGACGAGGATTGAGAATGTTGTTGGACGGACCGTCCAGTACATCAAGAAGGCCCAGGAACCGGATGGAAGTTGGTACGGGAGCTGGGGTATTTGTTTCACGTATGCCACTATGTTTGCCACCGAGGCCTTGAAGAGCACAGGCGAAACCTACGAGAACAGCCCGACGATGAGAAAAGCGGTTGAATTCCTGTTGAGCAAGCAACGAGATGATGGGGGGTGGGGCGAGAGCTACAAGAGCTGTGAGACCGGTATCTATACCGAGCATAAGGAGACCCAAGTTGTGAATACTGCTTGGGCAGTGATTGCTTTGATGAACGCTGGATACAAGGAGCGTGGGCCAATTGAAAGGGGAATCAAGGTAAGCACACAGTTCTATTGGGCTCGTTGGGGAGACGCTAATTTCTACAGTTGATCATGCGACGCCAACAACCGAATGGCGAATGGCTGCAAGAGGCGATTGAAGGTGTTTTTAACAAGAGCTGGTTAGTCCATCTTTGACCTTTTTGATTTGTTTTGGGCTAATAATTGTAGTATGATCTCGTACCCGAACTATAAATTTACGTTCACTATCAAAGCGCTTGGAATTTATGCTAGGATCTTTGGCAATGAGGTTTGTTAGGCGAGCAGCTGCGAGATGCCAGCAAGATAGTTTGGGAAAACAGCTGAATCTAATGGTTTAATGGTGTTTGAAGGCTATACCTCAGGGCTTGTATGATTTATATAGATTAGCTATTTCGCGAAGGCTTAACTTGCAAAGGATAGATTTTACCTTATTTTTATAGGATCCGTATTCTTTGGATCGGTTCAGTGTAACTTGACTACTAACTTGTCACGAATTGAGGGGGCTTCCTAGATCCCATTTTGGCTTGAAGCTTGTAAAAGCAATTGTCTAGGACCAAGCACTGTAGGCTGCTATCATACTTTCCTCAACTTGATTCGGTCATTGGTTCCTCTAATCCACCTTCACTAACGAGCACGCGTTAGCCCGAGCCGATCACTCACAACTTCCGCCTCACGATTCACGGAAGGTATCATCATACACACTATGCCTGTGCCGACATCTCGTTGTATCATATGGTAGCCACCACCTCTTTTGTTGCCCATCACTCTTGACAAGGCTTTAGGTCTGGTGCGTATGTAATTCACCACACACACCAACAACCTTAAGACAATATCCCTTCCATATGCCCGAAGCTGTGAACGAAACTCGGAAGGGATAGCCGCTTCTGCGTCCACGCGAGATTTGCACTGATGAAATGTGGGACGCTTATCGACACCCCGAGTAGAATAACATTGTATCGTATATGGTATCCTAGCATCCCTGGCCATCCGGTGTCAATGATCGCCATTCAGGAATCCTTGGCGTCCATAGAGGGGGTGTAAGTGTAGGGAGACGAAGAAGAAAATTTTCTTTTAAAAAAAAAAAAGTACCATACAAAAGGGGAAGGGGGAAAACTCTATAATCTAAGCCTTCCCGCTCGAGCAGTGGCTTTACCCCCCCGCGTGCGATCAGCCTTCCATCAGCAAACGAGAGAAGTATTCCCTTCGGATTTGTTCAGCACGTCAGGGCCAACCGACGCCTTCCCATCCCAGTAACAAACTTTGCCAGTTCCTCATACGCCCTCCATCACCAGCAAACGGAGAGGAGATCTCGTTCGCTCGTGTTTGCCGACCCGACCTGCCGGGGTTGGCGTCTTTCCGTCCTGCCGGGAGCTTGGCTACCTATCCCTCGGACAAACTCCTTCACCAGCATACGAGGGCAGTGTTTTTTCTCGCTCTGTCTAAAGTGTTGGGATCGACATACTGTATTCCCGCGACGGGAGCAGCTCTTGCCATTCCCTCGCGCTCAACTCACTTTCCGCGCAGCGTACGCGGGTTGGTGTTGTGCCCCATGCGCGGCCCGTCGGGGATAACATCTTTGCATCCACTTAATATATAATAATTATGGTTGTAACTGCAAGTGAGGCGTTGCGACACTCGCCCGGTCATTTTCGCCTCTCCGCCTTTACCTTATGGTTAGACCCACAAATCTTTACCCTCCCTACCACCCAGATCTATAGAAACGACCTATTAGGGACCCCGGATGATCAATCCCACCACGAGCGAAATCGAGCTATTGGGATCCTGCCGATGGCGCGAGTCATCACGAGGAAGGCGGCTCCGATAAGCTATAACCACCGCAAGAATCCTTTTACAGCGCAGCGACCGGCGATAAGCCGGTTCTGCGGAGCGTACCGTACCGAATAAGAGCGACACCTGAAAGTAAGTCAAAATAAGGCGAAACTAAGCCTCCCCTCCCCCCCACTCCGGTGTGGCGGTGAGGGTGGGCACCCCGGACTGGTCATTTACGATATTATGGGTGAGCAGGTCTGATACCCGGTTCACACCATGCCTTCATAGAGCAGTCGTGAACTGAGCATTGGGCATGATATATTATCATACATGCTGAGGAACAATCGGGGGGGCACAACGAGAAGAACAAGGGCGCTCCCCAGTGGTGCGGTCGAGAACGTGAGTATGGTAAATTAAATGATATCGGTGAAGCGCTCAAGGCGATGATGTGCTCGGGGGAACAGATGAGATCCTTATCCGTCGAGTGACCACCCATGACTGGGATCACGTGGGATATTCTGTATCATATTATCATGCTCAGGTATCATGACATTGTATCGTATCATATCAAAATCGCGGGGTTAAGATCTCTACACCTGATTACCAATCCACCAATCCCCCCCCCCCCAAAAAAAAAGAGAGATCCCGTTAACATTTTGTAGATCTCGCCCCAATTGCATCACCACCACCACCAATCCGTGATCTTCTACTCGGGTACTCCTTGGTCGACGGTGCTACCTGTAGTGTATATACCGGTACCGGTACCTACCACTCCCCCTACCACTCCCTCTCCCCCTCCCCAACCACCACTACATTCCACACTACTTGAGCACGAGTACTACATTACAAAATGACCCAACCCTACACCGCCACAACAGAATCCCACAAAACCTCCATGCTCTCCCGGAAATTCGGTCAGGAGATAATAAACTACTTCTCCGGCAGCCCGCTTAACCGTGTCTCCTTCCTTCGCTCAAGCACCGCATTCCTGCGCGCCGCGCTGCCGCGGTCCAAGTTCCTACTGATGCGGGACTTGGAGCCGCTCGCGGCGAGCAAGACCACGCTTGCGTGGGTGGGGTACGAGACTGTGCGCGAGCTCGTAGGGAACCCGTTTGACACGGAGGAGGAAGAGTTTTTGAGGGGCTATGATTCTAGGGTTGAGATTCCAACGTTGGTATTTTTGGGGATGAATGAGGAGGGGACGGGTGGTGGTGGTGGTGGGGAGAGCTTTGAGTTTGAAGGGGAGGGCGGAAAATATGTTGGAGGGCCGTGCTTCGCTTTGGATGTTACGGAAAAAGGGAGTTTGAAGGAGGAGTGTGAGAAGGTGCAGGAGGAGGCAGTGAAGGGGGCGGAAGGAAGAGAGTTTAGGAAAGTTAGATTGGATTTGAGCCTTGTCCCTTCGGATGGTAACTGCCCCGTGCCATATAAATATGTGGGAGTGGGGAGCTGATGGCGGTGAGAGTATAGCGGCGATACTAGCCCAAGCAAGAAGTCTCCTAGACTGGAATAATCGCAATCAGGTACTCTACCCCTCATCACCCCACTATATACCCCGCAAACGCCGCTAAAACATCCACAGTTCTGTTCAGCCTGCGGCGCCCGGACTGTCTCCGTCCACGCCGGAACCAAACGCATCTGCCCACCCTCCGACAAGGCATTCCAAAAGGATCCCGAAGGCCCACCATTCGAGCGACCACCCTGCATCTCCCGAAAGGGCATCCACAACATCGCAGTACTCCCCCCCCCTCATTTCCCATACACTCCCGCTAATATCCCCAGTTCCCGCGCACCGACCCGACCGTAATAATGGCCATCATAAACTCCACCGGCGACAAAGTCCTCTTAGGCCGTCAACGCCGCTGGCCAAAAGAGTCCCCCCCCCCCCCGATTCTGCACACGCTCACTAACATAAGCCAGCTTTTATTCCACCCTCGCCGGCTTCTGCGAGCCCGCCGAGTCAGTAGAAGATGCCGTGCGTCGCGAGACCTGGGAAGAATCTGGCGTGCGTGTGGGCCGCGTGGTAATCCACAGCACGCAACCATGGCCGTACCCGGCGAATCTGATGATGGGTGCGATCGGTGAGGCGCTCCCGGGTGGGGAGGAGATTGTCTTGAAGCATGATCCTGAGTTAGAGGATGCTCAGTGGGTGGAGGTTGGGCGGGTTAGGAACGCGCTCCAGGAGAGCACTGGAACGCCGGATGTGGAGGTTGAAGGGGCTATTGAGGTTTGTTCTTCTTTGAGAAAGGGGGGGGCGGGAGGAGGCTAATACCAGCGGGTGGTTTTTTTTTGATTTGTAGGGACAGTTACGACTTCCGCCATCGACTGCTATCGCGCATCAATTGCTTCTTGCGGTGGTCAATGGGTTTCATCTGGCAAAGCTTTAGGTCACATCTTGCATACAATAGCACAACATGCACTATGATACTCGCCCCAGGCAAGAGATATCCGAAAATACGAGTCGTGATTTTGTATCGTGTGCACAGATGTTTCGCCTTGCTTTAAGAACCCCTGTTTTCGGATACTTCTTGCCTGGGACGAGCAGAGCACGCCCCTCCACCTCTCGAGAATAAAAATACCATTTATTTACCACCACCCTACTCGCTTGTCAGTCCATTCACCCATCACATGTACTCACTCGACCCCGTTATCTAATCACATCCACCAACCAACCGACCAATCAACTGATCGCCAACCCACCAAACCAAAAAAAGTAGAGTAATGAAAGGAGATTCGTTCATCATACAGGGAAGGGACCAAAAGTAGGGTGAAAGGCGCTCAATGTACAATAAAAAAGTGTCAGCTGCCTTGTACGAAAGTAAGTAGGTTAGTAAGAGGGAAAAGGAAGAAATAAAAACTCCCAGGAATGAGATCAAGAAAATGAAAAAACGCGAATCGCCGACGCCCGCTCGTGCTCATGCTAGCTAAGGTATCATCAAGGATGAACGATAGGTAAATGTGGTAAGAGGTAGTGGAGAATAGAGAGAGGGAGAGGGAAAGAGTTACAAATAGTATCGTAAATAACAGCAAGGTAATTTAGCGCGACAAAAATTCATGAAGTGGGGGGTGATATCAAGCAAGGGAAAAAAAGAAAAAAGCCCCGGTACACTCGTTGGAATCTTACAAACTGCCCACATCTCCCCCCATTGTTGATCTTGTTGGAAATGTTAGCGAACTGATGGAAGAAGTGAAAAATGAAACAGGGAGAACTGTCTTTTAAAAATACGGGATTAAAAGGAGATTGCTAAATGTTGAGAAAATTTTGAAAACGAAGAGCCCTAGACAAGACTAGACCAAACTAGCCTGTTACATAGTACGAGTAAGAAGAAAAGGAAAGAAAAACAAGAAGCGCCTTCAGCCCAACGTTCTACCTCAAATGCTTTTTGTGCTAAACGGAAGGAAATAAAGGAAAAGTGGGAGTAAAAAAGTAGGTGAAAAAAGTGCGATATAGGATGAACGCAACAGAAGATCTTTTTTACCACTCCTCACGCTGAGATCGGAGGTACTTCCTGGCTAGCTCATCGCCCCCCTGAGCAGACAATTCCATCCAATGGTAAGCAACGCACATTGTCGCAGGATCCCGCTTCTCGGGATCTTCGCCCTTGGCGACCATCATCTCTGGCCTGAACGTATCCTTCGGCTTAGACAGCGGTTTGGTCGACCGCGGTAGCAAGGTTGGGTTAGTGAGGTAGAAGATGGCCAGTTCGCGCTGGGCCGCAGGGTCGCCTTCCTTTGCCGCGATGTTCCACATTGTGGCCGCGTCCTGCATTGTGTAACGGCTGTACTCCTTGTTCTCGCCTTTGTTGCCCTTCTCCTTGCCAGACTCTGATTCTCGCTGAGTGGTATCCTTGGCTACAATCTCATCTGCGATCTCAGCCATGGTCCTACAGACGTCCTGCTTTAATCCGAGGGCTGCCAATCCGGTGTCCCAGAACGCTTTCCCAATGGCGGTCCTGTCCAAAATAGAAGCGGGGACGAAGGCGGCGACAAACTGCAAATCACGGAATAACGTTTTGGGTCGAATTTCTGCTTGTCTGAACAAATCTTGCAAAACTTCCACAATCATGTCCGCACTAGGAGCCGCGGTATGGGTTGGCGAGCGAGCACCACTTGGAGTCATAAGAGGTGAAGCTACAGCACCACTATTCATGACATTCGACCTCCTCTCCTCAAGGTTGGCCATCGCCTCCTCAATATTGCTTGGCTGGTTGAGTTGTAGACTACATATCCTGGAAGAGGCCTCTCCCATAGCCTCCAAAAACGGCGAACTGGGCATCGATGGAAGAGTAGGCTTGCGCATGCATGAAGGAGACCGGGCGGAGAGAGATGCAACTATGAGAAGCTCCAGCTCATAGATAGCTTGTAATTTCTGGAATGGGTTGGGGTGAGTAGAAAATTGCATGAGTAACCTCCGGAAGGCATGGCCATAGGGGAACGCCATGAAGCCGCCTTTCTTAGCAGCGGAAAGGGTTGAAGTCCGGGCAGTGGCATCGCTAGATGATGAGTTCTCCTCTCCAGAGTGGGCTTCACGGCCAACATTTTCTAAAGTGGCAACCGGCGCCGCCAACTCTCCCTTTTTCTCCTTGCCTAAAGCCTCAAAAGTGCCCGTGTTAGCGGATTTCCGAACGTTTTTGGTGCTCTTCTTTCTAGCCAGTTTCTTATTGCCAGATCCACCACTGTTCTTTGATGATTGCTTCTCCGGAACCTTTCGCTTGGCCTCTTCCTGCTCTTCCTTCCTCTGGATACACTCATCACCTAGGCCACCCGAAAACCATCCGTCTGTTTCACTGCCCTTGCTGAAGACCTCCAGACCAAGGTCACTCAAGAGAAGGCCGGTTAGTGATTGCTTCAACTCTCCTAGGAATTTCCTTTTTTGATGGTTAACTGTCTCCAAGGATTTGGATAATGAAGTTGGTGAATGTGCAGTTTTGGGTCTACCGGAACTGGAATTATTGCTGTGAGAAGAAAACGGGGACCAATAGGTATTGTGAGTTTCTGGTTGCAAAGCCGGACTGGGCATGCCAAACAAATCTTGTCTGTCAATGGAATCCATAAGGCCGGCATTGGATTTTGTCCTTCCTTTACCACGGCTCGATGGGAGATCATGGATAGAGTTGACGATGCTTGCAGACCGGTTCCTGCCGAAAATGTCACTGGTACTTGGCCTTCGAAGCATATCCAGGCCGCGCTTAACACGCCCATCCTCATGATCATCATCTCCTGACACACTTAGGGTACCCACACCTGCCAAGTAGAGTTCGCCCTTCTGGCGGTTAATAGCCATTTCTCGGTCGTCCCGGGAAAATAGCTCACTCGACCATAGAACGGGGCCATCAAGTATCCCATCGCCAACAAGTTTAGTAACACATTTATCGATCTCAAGGCAAAAGCGGTGAATCCTCTCTTCCCCCTTGCAAAAGTTCTCAACTGAATATCTGCTAAGGTACTCGAAGGTCATGCTTGCTTGCTCATCACTCAGCTTGTTGAGTCCTCCGTGCTCTGGCTGGGCAGCAAGGATGTCGATCAGAGTATCCGATTTCAAAAGCGAGAAGCTGCTAGCCGACATTCGGTGGCTGAGATTGCGAGAAGAGCTTTTGGTCTTTGTGTCTGTCTTGGGCCGTTGGGGCATACCCATCTTCTTCAGGGCCAAGGCGACATTGCGAGCCTCATCGTATGCTGCCGAATTGCGCACATCCGTGACATACCACATCTTGTCACGAAGATCCTTGATCTTACGCATCATCTCGTCCACAGCGGTTTCATGTCGCTCTTGGGCAAGGGTAAGCCAAACAAACCATGCTTCGCATTCCTCAATCCCAGCTGCTGATCTCTCTATTGAATCGCGGGGATCTCTCGAAAAGATGTGAAGCAATGGGGCATACTCATCACGCTGAAGTGACGGGGGAAGTTTCCGAGCCTGAAATACCGCCCGATGATATTGCTGTGAAGAAACATAGTCTCCTCTGGCCAAACATTGCGTGGAGGCAGCCTGAAGCATAGTGAAAAGGAGTGAGGGTGGTGTTTGGGCACGCTGCTTAGGTTTATCAAGATTGTCCTTGAGAGCAGCGCCCCGTGAGCGGTCTGGAGCTGGTGCCTTTGATTGGCCCGCCGTAATCATCGCTGTTAGATTGCTCTGGGGATGGAATGGATTACTGGGATCTAGCTTAGTCTCTGGAACTGTTTCAACAATTGGAATAGTCGGAACACTGGGTGCACTGTTGGCTTTCGCGGCCGACGGCCTATTACTGAACTTGGGATTCTCGGAGACCGGCTCCTCGGGAATCTCGAACTCGGCCACCAACTTCATGACTGACTCTTTAAGTTGATTATAAACTCTGTCAAGGCCCGAAACCTCAAGCGGCGCCTCGTCTTCACTATCGCTATTGTGCCCTTCGTCATCGTCATCATCGTCATCCTCATCCCAATCTTTCCGCATCCTCAAACTTAGTTCCTTTCCGTCCGGGGAGACGTAGATAACCGCCCACTTTTCAGCGCAGGGATGACATTTTCCAGATGTAACATCAGGTCCAAGTCTGCCCATCATTGCCTCGACAGCTGATCTAACTTCCAAGCCAAATTTCTCTAAAGAGTTCGGGTCCGAACTAGATGGGTGGAAGGTTTGGGTGTTGAAAGAAAAGGATGATGGTGACGCCAAAGGAACGGATGTAAACGACCGTCTGTCATCCGGAAAGCTTGATCGTTCGAGTAAAGGATAAGTCATCGATGCTGATTCACTAGTAACAGAAGAACCAGATCCACTAAGGACCGAACCTGAACCGATCTCAAATACGGCATTCGGAGACTTGCCGAATATCTGCCGAGAGGATGATCTGCTGCCCATGGTTCCCCGGATATCACGTCCTTCTACCATAGCAGATGAACCCTGCGGATACAACGCTCGATAAAGGGTGACAATGTCTGCTGGGCATAGTACAATGAATGGCTGAACCTCTGTTGTTTCTCGAGGAGAAGTGATGGCCTTAGTTGGGAGAAGAACAGGTGTTGAATCGCTGGGGTGTGGGTTTCGAAACCTGCCAAGCAAGTTCTCAATATGGCTCCGAACCACAGGCTCCACGGGATTATTGGTTTTCCTGAATACGCTCAGTAAGTTACATTTCCCGGAGCAATAAATCTAGAATCAACCTACCAGTCACCAAAGACAACGCCAACCGCATGATTGTATATTTTTTTCAAAACTGGTCGCAAAATCTTTAACCTAGCGTGTTCACTAATATGATGACCTGTCATAATCCCGTAGTACTGGTGGATCCGTTAGCTACATGATCCCAACCACCCCCACAAGGGTGATCACCATACATACCTCTGGGTAAGCGACTCCATTGGTCAAAAACCGCTGGAAGAACCATTTCGCCACAAGAATAATTTCTGCTTGGCGTTGCTTCTTTGGATCATCAATTTTCTGTAAGATAGCATGTCCCAATTCGAGGATGCCTTCCGGGATTCCTCCAGCGCTGGGCTCGTCGTCCAAAACCTCAAGCAATTTCTTCTCCGCCTTAATCCAAAATTCTTCTGCAAGAAGGTCCTGCTTTCCACGAAGATCCGCTTGAGAACCACCATTATTTTCATCCACCAGAAATGATCCCTCCTGGATAAGGTTCATCAAACAAATTTCCAAGTTGGCTTTGGCGGGCCATTCCCGCATCGCTGCCCACGAATCCATAACAACCAACAGGAAAGATTCCCCCTTATTCTCACATATTAACTTAGCGCAAGTAGTAGCCCAAACATCTGTTCGCCGTCTGTCCTCCGCAGAATCAGGCCCTGTAGAGTTCGCAAATATTGTGTGTAATATGGTGTATAATGGGTCATTGCGGTGGAAAGCAAGAAGTCGCTCTACTGGACTAGGTACGGGAATTTGGGAGGTGGTATTTCTAGAGGCCGCATTGCCACGTCTAGGCACCTGCTGGGGAAGGATGGATTCCTGTGGGTTCGGTTGATAGTGATGTCGGACCAAGCTCTCCAACTCAGAATTCGTAAGACGAGCAAGGCGATTTGCAAGAAATGTTGGGCTAGACCTGATCATTGAAATGAATGAGAGTATAGTGTCCCGTGCCTGGACCGGAATCTCATGAAGAAAAGACGTCAAACCTCTAGGGCCTTCGTTGTCGTCGGAAGAATTTGAGGGCTTTGCCGAATCCAATTCGGGTTCGAGCATAGCGAACCGGCGCGTCGCCTCACATGAATTCCTAACATCATGAAGCGCATTGTACAGGGTGGCGAAATCAGATTTCTGATCGGATTTGAAGTAATCAACTAATGCTTTATGGCAAAGTTCACCTGACCTAGTTAACCGCGCCGAAACAGCACTCGATACTAATGATTTGTGCAGACGTATGCGGCTCTGAAAGTGTTTGTGTTCCTGGTAAGATTGTAATTTGACCAGATGCGCTAACTCGGCAAGTGATGTGGTTTGGCCAACGAAAGCAGAAGGAACAGAAGAGATGTATGAATCGCCGGAAAGCAAAGGTAGTTGACCAGAAGGAGCGGAGGCAGAAACAGGCAAACTGGGCCGATGCTTCAAGGACGGATGCCGGCCTTGGGCTATCGTCATATTTTGCGGTGGTGGAGTGGCAGACGGAGATGGGGGAGCCGACGTGCTTGCTTGAGTGGGTTGAGAAGGGATGGGAGAAGAAGTTCGAGATGGAGGTTGAGGGGGGGCTACAAGACAGAATCAGTGGTGGTTAGCTGATGTAGCAGAAAAATACGGTAACGAAAAAGAGCAACAATGCCGGCGCTTGGTATGCCTCTGCTTTGCTCCTGCCTTGCCTCGTGCTTTTTCCCGATGTGTGGGGTGCGCTTCTTTCTTTCTGCTCAACCTGCTGCCACGCTGGCAACGCAGCACAACAAAAACAGGAAAAGCAAGGCACACGCAGGAGATAACAGAGCCGCGCGGCGGAGGGATCAACAAAAACAGAATAAGTTCTTCATAATTAAACCATAGAGAAGCGGGAATGCATACGGCTAGTCGAAGGGGAGAAAGACTCGGAAACCTTCATGTGTCCATGAGATATGGTACTGTAGCTGTTGCTATAAAGTATGCCGATCTTGGAAAAGAGAAAAAAGAGAAAGAAAAAAACTAAAAGTTGAGTAACCTCTTTCCCAGGAGCGGGTAAAGTAGTAACTTAGTGCAGTTTGCAGTTGAAGTGTAGCGTGCGAAAACGCGGAAATAGAGGGACTTTCAAAAGATGGATAGATGGAGAAGGAGAGAAAGAAAGTTTTCTTTTTCTTCTTCTACTTCTACTTCTATCTTTCCTTTTTCTCCCTGTCTTTCCTTCTTTTCTCGTGGTAGTTGAGAATAAGGTGTAGTGGGTGTAGTGGGGATAGGGTGGGTAAGGTAAGGACTTCGGATGGAGGGGGGGGTAAGAGTGGGAGAGGAAAAAAGTTGATCTCGACCAGCAAAAAAAATGTATCCCGCGAGGCGAACGCCCTCCCTCTCAGTCAGCGCAACCCGAGATGAGAAATGGCGATGGCGAAGATTACACTCAGAAAGAGGAACAAATGGGGGGGTAGCCAGTACTAAGGTAACTGAGTCCTGCAGTAGGGAGCAGTACTCGAGTACTCGTACTAAAGTCGGAGATGGAAAGGGGAGTGGGTGGCGGGGAAGGGAATGTGAATGGGTGGAAATGTGCCAAAGGTGAGAGAGATGCTGAGGTAGGCTTAGATTGCTGTGATGCTGTGATGCTACTGCCGGTGGTGATGGCTTGCTGTTGCTTCTGCTGTGCCTTCTTCGCTTTCTCCTGATCCCTTCGTTCCTTCTGTATCGTTCCTGTTCCTTCGTTCTCGTGGAATACCGGTACTGTAACTTGTTGGCTGGATCACTACTGGCTAGTGATCCTTAACTTACTGTTATTATTTTCTATTCTCTCTTTCCCGATTTCTTCTTCCGTTCACTGCCGGTGGTTCTTTTTTGCCAGGCTCGCTCGTACAGTGAGTGGTTCGTTGTGCTGGCTTAGATGATGTACGAGCAGTTGGGGTGGGATTGGAGGAGAGGGGAGGTTGGCGCAGATATCAATACCGGTAATAATGATGGTAGCAAGAGTGTTCGCAATGCACCACCCACCAATTAATTCACCCTCTACACCCCCCAAATGTTCCCATTATGTGAGGTCTGCACTTCATCCCAAAGCGAAATGGATGTCTGCTCGAATGTGATATTCCCACTCGCACGCTGTGCACACTGAAAAGTGCTCGCTGCCAGAAGCCGGGGAAACAGAGAAGAATGGGCCATTGTCAGCCCGGTGAATACTTTTGGTTGCTATGACGGGCACACTGTCAAAGTTGGTACCACGCACTCGCTGGTTCATCCGCCTGCCCCCCCCCCACAACCACGATGAGCGACTCCTGCTCGAGCAGACGGGGCCATTCTTGGCAAAAATTCGAAAACACACGAATTCACTATCATAATCCAAATTTATTATAGACTCATGCCTAAATAGGACTTGCCAGTCCCTTTTTTTATCAGCATGGTCTTGGTGGATTGTGACATACTGTAGACTTGACAATCTATGATGGAGTTCAAAACCAGCTGCACCTACACATATTAATTCCTTTATCTTGCTCAGCTAGAACGCTATATTACCAAGAAATTAACCCATGAAGATATTCCGCGATTGATACCCTGTTGACATAGGGATCAATACTTGGAAATAGTTATTATGGTCAAGTGTTGATATGATAGGTTTCTTGTCGAGGTGTCTTCTGTGCCCTAACCACTTGTAGGCGTCGCACACCATATCAACAGCTTCACTGGGGGTTCGGGATGCCCATATAAATTTACACAAGTACGAGTACAGTACCGTACTCGCAGTAAGGAGAACAGGGATCGGATGGATTGAGGTGGGGAAGGGCCGTTGCAGATCAGTTAGTCCCTTCTTCTAAAAAGTGACAGAGCAAACGACAGGCATCTATTTTTTCCAAGCACCTTGGCATTGTCTTTTTTTTTCCTTTTTCGCCATTATGAACCCAGTTATTTTTGCCCTTTGAGGGATGGTGACCCACTGGGTTGGATGGAAAGCCTCCCAGAGTTTTTCCTTTCCCCTACGAACCCTGCTCATCCTTCCTTTAGAATCCGTTTGCCTCCGATTATTACTGTATCTGTTGATGCTTGAGGGTTGACAGCCTGCCCCGAATTACGAGTTAGACTCGGGTGGTTGCACAGCGATAACTGTACGGTACGAGTAGTCTACAGATGGAGCAGTTGGCTGAACGTTGGGCTAAGGAACTTTTTTTGATGTCAGCCTCAGCCTTCAGCCTTCAGACGTCAAGTGCTCAGATCCCAACTGGTGGTAGACCAGCATCAACTCTTTGTGACACCTGGTTCTGTTCTGTGACTTGAACAAGGCGGCAAACATCGAGTACAGTACTCGAGTATGGTAGCCCTATCTATCTCAGGTTCACAGCACCATCTTTATCGCCAGCAACAATCGTGACCCCGCCCGGCAACACCTGACGTCGGCTTGAATTCTACTCGTCGGGGATTGTCGACGCTTTGGCACAGTACCGTACTGTGCTACAAGTACGAGTGGTACCGGTACTTGAGTCCCCCGCCGGTGGGCAACATGCTTAGTCTACGAGTACTGTACAGTACTCGTACCGGTACAAGTACTACCGGTATGGCCATTGTCCCTGTCAACGAGTCTCCTGATGGGTGCCACCCGTTGCCATGAGCCAAGCGCGGTTACAATCCCTGCAACAGCTGCTTAGGCAACTTAAAGATTCATCTACCTGTACTCGAATACCCGAGTACTGTATCATACACCATGCGCCAAACCGTGCCTACCGCTAGGCAAGGCCCATCCTGAGTCCTACATACTCAAGTACCGGTACTATATCGTACCTATGATCTCTTCATCCGGTCCAAAATCCAATCCCTCTCTATGGCCCCACGGTACTGGTCCGTTAATCATACTGTACCGGTAGTACTCGAGTAATTGATCCACAGGATTGGTTGCCCGGCAACCCGTTTCTATCGTCATTCCAGCTCATCCGCTGCTAGTAACCGTGCCAAGGTTGCGAAAGCCCAGACTGTGATGGCTCAGCCTCATCCAGCAGGCAGATCCATCCGTCGTTCTCCCGAGCTGTTCGTCAGTTTTTCGGCTCATCTGACAACCGAGCCCCTCACTACAAGTATTCGATGGCCACTTGCTTGTCTGCACTTCGCTTCCCTTCCTTCCAACGATCCAGACAAACCAAGCTCTCATCCGCCGTACTCGAGTGCTTGAGCACAATCGTGCACCTCTGCTACAGTTTATGGTCAGCATATCTCTCCAAATCCATCCCTCCTCCTTGCTTACCCCTCGAGAGAAAAAGAAAAAAGAAAAAAAAAAAACCGGGAAACCTATCGCATGGAAAGGCATCTTACCTTCCGCGATTGGATAAGTTAACTAATAGGGTGTGGGTGTTTTGCACCAAGAAGGGTTTGGCGCAGAATACAACTGAGTTTGCCAACTCATCAGTGCATACCGATAACATGCACTCACTGCACTAGAAAAGGGTTTATTCATTTCAAAGAAAGAGAGCGAGAGCGAGAGAAAGAGGTAAGAAAGAGCACTGGGATGCTTTTTTCTTTTCTCTTTCGTCCCTCATGCACGTCGTCAGGAAACCTACTACTCGTATTTGACTTGGCATGCGTTACATTACGGCGGGGCGGGGCTTTCCACTCATCTCTCCCCTTGATGAAAGTTGCTAGTTTTGGGGTCTTTTTTGTTTTGAAACCTCTCGTGGGGGGTTTCGCTTCCATTCCATTTCATGTTCTAAAACTATCCCTTGTACGTTTGCTATCGGTATTGTTGACTTCAATATCAATTTATTATCCTGATAGTTACTATGATAGATACGGTTGTTCTACCGGTACTGTATGATACCGGACACTGTGGCAACTGGCTTGCGTTGTCGCCCTCGTCAAGCCTTGCGGACCATTCTTGTGCGAAATACGTCTACTTTTGGCGAAAGCCTACCATACATGCCGCCTGCGCATCACTGAGATCACTGCAAGCATCGATATCCTGTTGCTCCCTTGCGACAAGATAGCGCGCTTGTTCAATCAAGCTGGGCTGTTTCCAGTCCCCCGGTCCTCTGAGATCCAATGGACGGATATTGATCACAATTTTTCCACCCCCACTATGAGGATGGCTACAGATATCAATCAACACCAATTGACAAAACACAATTGGTGAAAACCCATTCTGCCCTGCTTAATGCTTTAAACGCTGCGTTGTTTCATGTATATCTTTTCCCTTCACCATTTTTATCAGTGGGTCTTTTTTTTCTTCTTTTCTTCTTTCAATTCTTCCCCTTCCTTTTCTCCTCTGGGCACTGATACGACACTGACACGGGGAATCACAATCATCCACCACCCACGGCTGCTTGCGAGTTTTCCAAGAAACGGAAAACACATTTGCACCCGGTCCTCATTCTCACTACCTCGAGCAGATTCCAGGAATCCTACCTTCTGTACATTCATACCGAGGCACTGTACACACTTTCCGCCGTTCTGAGATCCAGGACCCTTCGGCATGGTACTTGTTTGCGTGCGATTGATCCCATCCTTCCAACGCCGACAAATATAACAGACAGGACATGGACAAGTACTCAGTAATTAATTAACAATCGCAAAAGTCTCTATCGATGCCTCGATGCACCGAAACCATGTGCCAATTCGCCGACTTTGGTTAACCAAGCCTTCCTCCACCCACCCTACACCAGCCATCTTCCCGACCCTGTCTTCACCACGATACAGGTACTCCAAGGCACATCTAACTAACCTTGGGGAACCACCTCTCCACTTCAAACCCCTTCCGTCCTCGCACATACATCCCCCTCTGCCGCTCCAACCACCCACAGGGCCCACCAAACCCCCAACATAGAAAATAATAATACGTGGCAGCCCGAGAGCAGAATAAGGCTATCTTCCTCCCTTTCTCCCCACTTCCTACTACATTACTGGTCCAGATGTGCGGTGATTCCGCCAGTCTTACCCATTTTCTTCTGCCTCCTGTACCGATATAGATATGCCCGATGGGTTTCTAGGATAGTGATATATGGCATGCAGGATATAAGGCTGGAGCTACTATCAACACTACACCAACCCACTATCTCGGAGGGGAGGGGGGCTACTTTAGCTCTTTGCATACAAATACAATTAGCCCTACTCCCACTCCCAAGAGGAAATGATGAAGGGAAGGAGCGAAGGCATCGGCATGAGAAGATGCCAACTGGAACGAGCTGGATTTATCCAGGCTTGAACATGATTTGGCAGTTAGTTGAAGTATTTAGAATGTGCTCATGTACTGTACCGTACTGTACGAGTACGGGCTTCACATGATACTTATTCTAATAAAAGTATCATAATTTGAATGGACAACAAAGTTCTCCCCCTTCTTTTCCATCTCCCTCTCCCTCTTCTCCCATACTAGAACTCATCCATTCATCAACTTGCGTGATGGATGAGTGGATGGATGGATGGATGGATGAGCCTACATCCACAGCATGTCTACTCTGGTCCAGTTCGATGCCCATCGGCGCTTAAACTCATCCGGCAACATCTGATCTGGTGTTTCCTTTTTTCCTCTTTCTTCCCTCCTTCCGTCCGTCGCGAATAAAGTGTGTTTACCGTATGGTGAAATGTTCGTTAGCATTTCGCAAACTCTAGAAAGAAAGAAAGAAAAAGGGAAAAAATAGCTACCTCTTCGCCCATGCATACGTTCCATGCGTTCGATCGATTGATGGGTCCGCCCAGCACTGTACTGCGTGGTGCTGTACTTGAGTACTCGTACTGGTACTGTATGATAGTTCGGTATGGTAGGGTACCGGCAGTCGATAGATGCAAGGTATCATGACATGGATTCCTTCATGCAGCGATCTCGATGATGAAAAGGTAAAAATAAAAATAAAAATAAATAAAAGTCATTTGTTACTCCTCCCTCCCTCCCTCCTCTCAGTTTTGAGTTGAAGGGTTCAGAAATTTATGGTGGGAGCTTTCTGTTGGATCATAGAATTTATCTGTTTAAGGCACTGTACACATCTATAGTGGGAGCTTGTATACTGTACTCGTACGGTACTAGTAAAACCGGTCAACCGACCCAAGGCCACACAATTCCTGACACATTGGGCCATGGTTCTTCATACGCAAAATGGAGAGCTGATGAGCTGCTGCGGGATATGATCCTGTGGAAAATGATTTCCTACTTGTCTTTGTCAGGTTTCATACGTGTAATTTCATTTTGGTGGGATGAGTTACGGTAGAAATTTGGAAAAACAGCAGTTTCTACGGGAATGGCCTGTTACCCAAATTATTATTTTTCTACACTCTAGATTTTTTCCTAAATTCCTACGGAAGTCCTTCATCAAGGAAATTATTTGTTGCGATGTGCAAAGGTCTCACTTTTTTTTTTTTTTCCTTCAACGTTACAGTACTACCCGTTTTCAAAAGTATCCGGAAACGCGCGGCACAAGTGCTACAGGTACAGTGCAACACGGCCGGTTGAAATGGCTGCCGGGGACAATATCGCACCAGTAGCCAAGGCATAAGTTAGTAGTTGTTCCTCAGCTCAACCCCCCACCAAGAGCCTCAACTTATTTTCCGACTACCCCATACCGACGGGAATCGTTCCGCTTCTGCCAAACAACCTCTTTTCATGCCAGTAAGCCTACGTCCTGCTCACATGCTCATCCATCACACAATATGGAGGATTGGGGATCTCCGTGGGCTGATGATGAGAAACTCGGTGACAAAGACGACAGGCCCGGAAGAAAACTTTCGCCGGGAGTGAAGGATGCCGAGGGGGAGGAGGAGGGTAAAAATCTGGGGAAGAAGGGAGAGAAAGAGGCAGTAATAACCCCTGTTATGGAGGAGAAACAGGATGTTGGGGCAGCGGACCTGGCGGTGGATTGGGACAACGGGTTTGCTGATTCGTTGGCTTGGGCGAATGCCACTCCGGCAGTGCAGGTCGAGGATGGAGATAGCTTTGGATGGGGGGCTTTGCGCTCGGAGAATTTCACGGGGGCAGGGGCAGGGGGGGGTGGTGATTCGGGGGAAGAGGGAGAAGGAAGAATCGAAGATGACTGGAGGGGTAGCAATAAGGGCGAGGGCCCCAAGACTGCCAATCTTCACCCGATAGCTACCGATGAAGTCAATGCGTGGGGTGCCGGCTCGGATTGGGGGGATCCTAGAACTCCCAGGACTCCAGAACCTCGAATTGAGGGAATGAACGATGCACTGGGTTTATCCTCAGATGAGGTGGGGGATAATACCCCTGATGGGGCGTTCGATGCAGAAGTGAAAGCTCCAGATGTCGAGAGACATGACCAACTCATTGATGCAGCAAACCTCCTGAACAGTTCTACCAAACAGTTGGTAAGCGATGGGGAAACCCAGAATGTGGGACAGAGCTCGGCAGACAATTTGCAAGCAGTTCTGGAGGCCGTTTCAGACCCCACTCCTCCGAAGACTCAAGAGGACTCAAAGAACGCCAGTCCACCACCACTAGAACCCCATCTGGCCACCTCGCCGATCTGCGGGGCAAACTCTCCCAAAGACGGCTCCACGAGTGTTACTGTTAGTGACCAAGGTGATGACGACGATGATTTTGGGGACTTCGCAGCGGAAGGCGGGGGGGGATTCGAGGAACCCCAAGCTTCCATGCCGGAGCCAGTACTTCCTGCTGCAATCAAAGCACCTCCGCCGGACTCTTTTGGGATAGATATCTCTCTTGTTTCAAAGTTGTACCCGATCCCAACCAGCCGCCCAGACCCGCCACCAATCAAGGAAATTATCTCAACTACAGATTCGTGAGTGGGCAGTTACCCTATTTAATGTTCGTATTTAATTTTTGAATAGCCGAAAAACCTGGTATCGGCTGTCGGCGAGCGGGACCATTAGGAGGAACCGTAGCGGCGACGACGACTACGTTCGGGTTATGTGGGTTGGGTCGAAGGTGCAGGAAGGTGTGAACAAGATTGTGGAGAAGTGGATGACAGAGGACAGAAATTCGGGAGGGGGTAGTTTGATGGGTGGGGGGAAAAGGGTGAGTGCTATGTTTGGATGGGGGGACAGCAGCTCGAAGACTTCAGATCAGAAGCCAATCTCTCTGGAGAGAGCCGTCCCGCAATTACCGAGCAGAGGCCGTTCTCGCAAGGCAAGTGGTCCCAGACCTGTTTCTATCTCCACACAAAGTCTACTCTCGAAACCTGCCTTAGTTGGGATTCCGAGTTCTTTAGAGTCGGTGGGCGGTGGATCTGCTCCATCAAACCAGGTTGCAAACTTCGGATGGGGTAGCACGCAACCTCGGCCTGGTGATGAGAAAACACCTTCTACACCATTAAAGACGATTCTCCATAGTTCGACAAGCCATTCGCTGTCGCCCCAACTAACCCCCCACAAAATATCACCAGCACCTCCCCCACCGCCTACGACTCCTAGCGATTCAGCTGGGAGTTCGATGGCAGCAGCATCAACCACTCTATCTCCAACTCTTTCACCAACTGCGGGTACCAAAAATTGCCCCATCGCTCCGGCCCCGGAATTTCCCCCGACAGTGGATAATTCGATCACAGCAGATCCTCTCCCTGCAGGTCTGCCCACTGATGCGCAAGCACCCGGTTTAGCCTCCGCATCCGGCTTTGATGATTGGAGTGCTTTGGAGAACATATCGGCAAGTGCGCCACCTGCATCTGCAAATAGCCAATCGTGCAGTTATGACGAGCGGGGCGCATTCGAAGGTCTTGCAGTGTCAGGGAGTTCTTCCTCAGCACCCAAAAAAGTTGCTCCAGCGATTGGATCACAAAATCCCCCTGTGGCAACAAACCTCAAGCCCGCTGTCCCAGCACCAATGCCACCGGCCCAGTCCTCATCCGAATCAGATAGGAAGCTCAACTCAGCTCGAGCAGCACTCGAGCCAGCTGATACAGCTATCGATGACTGGGGTGATCTTAAATCCTTGTCATCTCAACCCCCGAAATCCCAAACCCCATCAAATATATTGTCTTCACATGTCCCCATAGATCAAAACACTAATTCGCTCGCCTGGTCCGAATCGAAAGATCTGAAAACCTCTCAATCGGGTCTAGTCGAAGGTTCTCGAGAGGGCTCAAGGCTTTCGATTCCTCCAACTCCAAATATGTCGGGCGGTGGGAGCTTTATTTCTGCACCGATGAACGGAAGCGCCTCTGATGGTATCAAAAAGAACCCTGTCATATCTAATGTGCAAACACAACAAGACAGCGATGAAGGTGATGATTGGGGCGAAATGGTCCAATCGCCAATCATACCTACAGGAGTTCCCGGCTTTCCAGAAGCACTAAGGGTGCCAGCTCTTGCTTCATCACAAGATATCACTAGTCTCAACGCTTCGACCTCGCCAGCGCCACTGATCCCTCAACCTATGCTGACACTAGGCCCGGCATCCGTACCGCCTTTGGCGTCTGCTCAAGCTATACAACCAACATCGGCACTTTCTGCTACCTTGAACCCGAGCGATTTTGGGCAAAAATCAGGATCTAGCATTGGAGATTCTTGGGATTTATCCTTCTTCGAAGGGCCCCCAACGCCTAACAGTGGCTTCTCCATTCCTAAGGATATCTCAGAGCCTGCTAACCAAGATCTGTGGGACACGCCCGCTGTTGCGCAAGGCAAAGTCCAAGAGTCAGCGGATGACAGGGCAGTCAGAGAGATTGTGGGAGGGTTGCCAGATCTGAGCTATATGCTCGGCTGAGGAGGGCCACGGGCCCTTCGGGAGATTTAAAATTCAAACTGTAATAATATACGTAGGTCATTAAAGAGATGTAGTTTCCCTGTAGTTACTAGTTTGTATTTTCTTCGCATAATATGGAGTTTACATGGTTCTGAAGAATTTCCATTTCATTTCGCCTCGTTTATGTAAAGTCATTGTGATAGATATTATGGAGAGTGTTTCATTGAATAAAAATTAATACATTCAATAGAACAAGTTATCCGCATAACCCTCAGATGGTTTCTCCATGCACGGTGACATACGGCCGGGGGAAAAGGCCTAAGACAAAGGTTACTGTAACTCCAGCTGTTTCATAATGTTAGTCAACTGCCAAGAATCGGCGAGAAGGCTCAAAGCCAACTGCCAATTTTTCAATCTTGGACTATGACACACCCACGCAACACAACATCCACCCTCAGCCCGCTAACGTTCATGTTGGAAAAACAATAACGCTCCGACACCGATACCTTCTAAAAGGCAAAAAACCGCCTTTGGGCAAACCAAATACGTCATGGACATCCGGACTGTTGCTATTGACCTCTGGGTCAAAAGAAAAAAAAGTTACCGATAGTGATTAAAAGGTTATGGTTAGACTATGGGATACTTGAGTCCCCTCTCACCCATCTCTGACTAATCGCGAAAGAAAGGGAAGAAATGACGAGAGCGTATGTGTCCTTGCTGGGCCATCGATCATGCTCCTACAAAGCTCTACCGTGCCCTGCTGAATGGACTCCGCTACACCACCCCTACCGGCACCTTGATTAAACCATCAGCTTGGATATAATACGGTAGATTTCATATACTGTTTTAACTCTTCCATCGACAGGCCTGCGGGGAGTTTTTTTTTGTCTTTTCATTTTATTTTTCTTTATTACGAACGAGACTCCCTTTGACAAACGGAGACCATGGATATCGGTCTGATATTTATTTATTTCCCTGGCTATCGCTCTATATCGCCGAGAATTCAACTGATCTATCGAGACAAAAACGGCCGCTATTCCGTTTGTTAACTTAGGTTACTGATTTGTTTTCCAGAACTCTATTCCGCTATCGTTTGAAGTGGTCGGCCAATGCCCTGTCGACTTGAGGAGTTCGATGAAGGCGTCTGCGCCATCACCTCGACTCGGATGTCTGAGACAAAGATATTTATCCCCACATGTCCTCTCATCAACAACACGGAGAATTAAATGCTTTTCAGCCCACGTCGTTACCGTCGGGCCAGTCTAATTCTATCAAGTGATATTCTGACCGATTATGAACTATGGGTTTTGTTCCTCTAACTCCCTATATTTTTTGTTCTATTCCTTATCCTCCTTTCATGTTCCCTTTGCTCCCAGGGCAAAGCAACCTAGGGCAAAACAGGCTTTGTCCCTTGCGCTCCGGAGGGAAATCAGCCAAGTTTGCGTAGGTGCTTGTTTTTGATACTACAGTATTGTTTGTTCATCTGGCTAGTGGGTTAGGTTCCCCAAAGGGATGGTCTTCCTTTAGTAGTATCTCCTTATACCTATCGCATATGGAGTGGATTATCACCCCCGTGATGACCATGCGAGAGAAAAAGAAAGAAAGAGAGGAGACAAAATGTGGGAGAGGAGAGGAAACGGGTGAGGTGCAGAACGCCCATTGCTCTTTTCGGTTCTGCCCGGCACTACGATTTCTGGGCTATCGCATGGTGATGAGGGAAGAGACTGAACTGAGAGGCAAGAAAAAAAAAGGGAACAAGGGCTGGAATAGACAGAACTGTTGGCTCAGTTCTCTGTATGAGCGGAGATGGTATTGCCGTATCATACGTTCACTGCTGCGGGATAGAGCGTTATGACACTCTTACACCAGAGAAGGCCACCAAGTAAAGCTTGTCTGACGAAGTCAGGGAAATGGGTTAGGGGTTGATAGGAACTCTTTGATGGTGATATTTAGGTTTTTTTTTTTTTGCCTTTTGTGGGAGTGAACATGAGGCAAAGGGAATTGGTTGCGGTATTATCATATCGTATCATACTATCAGATAGATGTGTTTTCTCCCATGGATATTTGCCCTTAATAGAAGTACAAAAAGGGCAAAATCTATGTAAGGGATAGAAAGGATGGGGAGGATACATAAGAGGAGGGGACAGACTGCCGGTATGCCGGTACTATATAGAATATGCCCGGTCTGATCTCATATGGTCATTCTAGGGAGGTAAGGCTTTGGAAGGCGGGCCGGCCGGACCTATGATACAGTATGATACCGGTAGGCTGTGTGGGTTATGGGCTCGAAAGAGTGGCGGCGAGAGAGGTTGATACTTCCAGCATTTTTGGCGGCCATTCGTGGGGTCTTGGCAGCAACAATTCCGACTCACCACACGCAACCCTACGCCTCTTCCCTCCGCTTCGCTACCTCAGTCGCCCGTTCGCCGCAGCCACACAGCTCTATCAGACTGAACGCTTCTTTTTCCCTGGGTTGGAAGTGCAACCCTGATCAATAACAACCCCACGGCAGACACGACAACCCCAAAATTTCATCAGCGCAGTTCCAAGATAACTGTATCACGAAGCTTTTGTCCGTACCGACGGCGTGGTCGTTCTTGGAGTATGCATCCCCCATGTGAAACAAATTTCTCCCATATTTTCACAATCGCTTACAAACGGGTAACAGGTTTTCTCTAGAGAGCTTTTTGAAGTTATAGTAATGTCAAAATCAGTTAAGAGTTCGCATCGCGACAGCACTCGTGATATATGGCGTCCGAATATGGGGGAGGCTGAGAGAGGGAGAGGTCGCCCGCGGTCCCAATCAAGAGAGAGGAGACGTTCGCCCCCTGCTGGTCCTATGAAGAGAAGACAAGGCGGAGATCGTGACTTTAGGAGCCCGGATAGGGGATCAAGGCCATTTGATAAACCACCTCCGTCATCCCGACGACGCTCTCGGGAGAGGAGTAGAAGCGGTGGTAGACGTTCACCTCGCTACGAGTCAACATCACCCAAACGCCCCCTTCGCAACGAGAAGACAGGTGGCCGACATGCTGGCGGTGGTGCTTCGGAGTCACGACATTCTAATCGCTATAAACGACATCGACCCTCTGGGTCCCCTAATAAACGCAGACGTTCTAGATCCCCGGGTCATTCTACTAATAGGCACTCATCAAAAAAGACACGGAGGCCAAGGTCCCTTTCAAGGTCTCGATCGGTAGCCAGGCGTGGTAAAAGAGATTGCTCGGCTTCGCCAAGGCCATTATATTCACCACCACCTAGGAAGTATAAGCCTCCGAATCGAGGCCCTGATAATCGGGATAGATCTCTGTCTAGTTCTCCTAGACGCTCGCCTCGGGACTTTCGATTTAGGTCCCCTATCCATCGATCGATACGAGGCTCGCCGCTGCCACCATCCAGGCGTCATTCACCTCCTCCGTCAAGGGGACGTTCGGTATCCCCTATGCAACCACCACCGCCAAGGGGACGACGTGGTTTTCGACGAAATTCCCGGTCACCACCGCCAACCGGGCGTGGTCGGCGCCAATTTTCTTCTCCCCAACGTCACCATAACCGGTCACCAAGGTTTCAGTCACCATCTTATCCGCAGCCACCCCCAGAAAAAAAACGATCACCAAACCCACTGGCCACTCTAGATAAAAGTCCTCGGCCAAAAGCACCTTATCCTAGCCACTCTCATGCCAGGGAGTTGGGAGAGCACCGCACAGCTGTGAATTCCAAGCCTGGCAATCAACCATCAGTGTCCAACAATGATTCTCGGGGTGGAATTGTTTCAGCACAAGACCAGTCGGGCCCTGACGCACATGAAGGTCAAGGTCCTGTTGAGGGTTCTTCTAAGACTTTCACTCCAGAGAAAAATACTCAGAAACCAGCTCCTCCAACAGCACCGCACATAAATGATGGTCCCTACGTAAATCCGGAGCGTCAGAAAAATATTCTCGCAGAAGACACTCCGGGATTCGGCAGGGGTCGGAGGTTTTCAAGAGAACATCCAACAGGGTATGTCACCTTTGATCCCTAATTATTTTATTCGCACAATACTAAATGCATCAAAGCCCCTCGCGAGGTTATCATTATCAGGATGGTCCTCCACCTGGCAGTCGGCGTGGATCACAACATTCAGATTATCATGCCCCGTTTTCCGGCCGTGGTTCTCGTCAAGGTCAATTTTCACCAGAGAGGCGTCAGTCGTTCGAAGAACGTAGGTCGGGCCGTCGCTTCGGAGGAAGAGGTCATAGAGGACGGGGGCGTGGTGGGGGGGGAGGTGGAGGAAATGTCCATGATGATGGAGGAATGGGAAGAGGAAGGAACCGGTTTGATTCACATGAGCAACCACCAACACACCCGCGCCAAAGCCGTCCTGCTACGCCCGAGGATTCTCGCCGCCCTAGCTCTAGGTCTAAGGATGGGTCACAAGAAGGCCATCACGAAAAAGAGGATGACAATGGCAAGATGTTAACTTCTAGGAACAGCTCTGTAACCCGAGAGTCAAACCCACAAGCTGATCATGAGATGCCTCCTCCTTCCTGGCCTGTTTCCAAGAATAGCCCGGAGCCTCCTCCTCAGGATTCTCGTTCTTTCAAACGCATATCCGGTGGTCCAAACGCAAATCGTGCACCCACCTCAGGAGGATCTGTTTCAACTGGTGAAAGTAAGGGCGCAAGCAATTTTCGGCCCTTCGCACTTGGTCTTTTCAAAAATAAAAAGTCACTACCGAAGGCCCTCGAGGTTTCGCGAGAGCCACACTCAAGAGGACCTCTGAGGGGGTCTGGCGTCAATAACATTCCTCTAGGAAAGAATGCTGAGGCACTCAAAAAGCCCACAAAACGAGAGACACCACTACCGCCGACAGCATCGATGAGTAATTACCGGGAGACAGAACAAGTGCCCCAAGTTCCAGAGACACCTCAGGCTCATACTGTTGTTCGCCCACAACCTCCTCCTGCCAAGGAGTCAATTTATACCCGGTTGAGTATGGTCGGGGAAGGCACTTATGGGTGAGAACATTTTGGTTATAATGTTGTTTTTCATTGCTAATCCAATTGACTCTCTACAGTAAGGTGTACAAGGCGTCCAATAGCGTTACAAAAGAATTGGTTGCACTGAAGCGTATTCGTATGGAGAGCGAGAGAGATGGCGTATGTTCCGTGGCTCCGGGCCTTCTTTGTTTAATAAGGCTAACTATCAGATCTTAGTTCCCTATTACAGCGGTGCGAGAAATGAAGCTCTTGCAAGCATTAAAGCAGGACAATGTAGTCTCCCTTCTGGAAATGATGGTTGAGAAGAGTAGGTCTCTATTCAATCACAAATATCACCATCTACTAATCTGGCGCAATATTACAGGTGACTTTTACATGGTGTTCGAATATATGGATCATGACCTCACAGGAATTCTCAACCACCCGACATTCAGACTCGAGCCCTGTCACATTAAGCATCTTGCAAAACAGTTCTTTGAAGGTTTGGAATACCTTCACCATCGCGGTGTCCTTCATCGTGATATCAAGGGTTCCAATATTTTGCTCAATAATGATGGGCAATTGAAGATTGCCGACTTTGGACTCGCTCGATTTTATACGAAGGCCAGTAAAAAACAATTGGATTATACTAACCGCATCATAACCCTTTGGTATCGTCCTCCCGAGATCCTCCTTGGTGCTACCGCCTATGGCCCTGCGGTTGATATATGGAGCGCTGCCTGTGTGTTTGTTGAACTTTTCACAAGACAGCCAGTTTTTACAGGTAAAACTGAGATTGATCAGCTGGATACCATCTACAATGTCATGGGTACTCCTAGCGAGAAAATCTGGCCTGGTCTGAAAGAGACGCCATGGTATGGGTTATTGAGAACACCCGCGCGGCGCCGACCCAAGTTCCAGGAAAGATATTCAAGGTATGTATCATGTTTGCAGGTGTGTTCCAGCTTCGGTTAACAATTTCATCAGCCTCTTGCCAGATACTGCTATGGAACTAGCGACACAAATGTTACAATATGATCCTGACAAGCGACCTTCGGCCGAAGAGATTCTGAAACATCAGTACTTTCTGGAAGAACCGGCTCCCGCTCCCCCACTTGGGTGAGTTGTCTCTATTTCTCTTTACAAGCTCCTTACTAACAACACGTGTATAGTTTGCGTGACCTTAAAGGAGATTGGCATGAGTACGAATCCAAGATTGAGCGTCGGAGAGAACGTGAGATCAACGAAAAGAAGAAGCGGGCCCTGCACGAGGTGGACCGCAGGAAGTGGAAAGAAGCCCAAGCTGAGAAGAAGAGACTAGCGCAACAGGAGTACAACCCTGAACAGCCTATATCGGCTACAGCTACTAAGCGAAAGCGCGAAGATGGTGACATTGAGCCATCTGGGTCTTCTGGTTCAGTCAAGAAACGGGAGGTCGGAACTTGATGACTGGCGGCGGTGTTAGTTAACGTGAGATGTTCGGGTTTGTAATTTTTTATTAAAATTTATTTTCCTATCCCTCAATTTCTTCCTGCCTTCCTGCCTTTCCATCTTTCCTCACTTCTTAAACGCAAACAAAACAAAAAATGGGATGTGGAAAAAATTTGGCGTTTAGGGATGTTCTTTTTGTCCTCGATAATACAATCCATCACCCCCCTCCCCCCTCTTTCTCCTCCCATTTGGCAAAATTATTTTGCAGTAAGTGTGTATATAATTTATCTTGCACTTCCAGTATCATTGTAATTTTCCTTCTTGTTTTCTCTTTTTTTTTTATCCCTCTTCTTTTTCTCTATTCTTCTGTTCATAATTTTTTGTTTTTTCACTTTAACTTCTATACGATTTTTATTATGTATGGAGCGAACATAGCGGCGTAATTGCATGGAAGCTAGCAAATGAAGTCTTTGGGTTCATATTAGTATAAAACGATGTACCTTACAATAACGGTCTGTCCGAAAATATAGCAATCCTACGATAGTACCAACTATTAAAATAATTTGCTTCATCTTAAACCGCATCCATAACGCCACCCGCACCCTTCTAGGAATATCTATACTCAATCCGGATAAAAGAAATTCAGAAAAAGAGAAAAAAATAGAGAGCACTTCAAATGAGTATTCCATGATACTCCGCTCTCCGGTACTTCTCCACGAGCCCGGGCCATTGTACAATAAACCTATCCGTAAACACATACAGCAATCTCCCGGACAGCGACAACGAGCGAACCCGTGCGAACGACTCTACGTAAATAATTCTCGTCCTACAAAGTCCGAGGAGCTGTATGCCATCATCAGCACTAGCCTAACCTAACTGATTCAGGAAAATGGTTTGGGACGAACCTTACAAAAAAAACAAACCCCAACAACCACAACCGCGGATCCAGGTCCATTGCAAACAACCACGTCTGGAAAGCCAACCCGCGCGAAAGCGCGAACGCAGCCAGCCAAGCACGCAGCGCAGGTCCACGGCGTGCTCAGCCAGCTCTGTCCGACCAACCGTGCGCGGGGGATCTCTAGGATGTCGTAAGAGGTCGGGGAGGAGGTGGAGGCGTATTCGAATGCAGCGGCTTTTTTTACAGAGAGGGCGTCGCCGCGTGATATCATGTATGTGCGCTTGTAGCGAGAGGAGCTGGCAGAGGGACAAGGGGAGGATATTAGGGAGAGCATTTCGGCGGTGTGCCCGCCCGAGCCGAGGAGGTAGAGGATGTGCGGCTTTCTGGTAGAAGGGGAACAGGGGGGGGAGGGGCCCTGGGTGCGGGTTATGGGCGGGGTCACTGAGAGGAGGCGGAGCTGGGAGGGAGGTGGTTTGTAAATTTGTAGAGTGCATTGAGGAGGGGGGGAAGGGGGCAACGTACGAATAGGAGGAAGGAAAGGATTATCATCCCGGTGAGGAAGAGAGAAATCATGACGAGTGCGTGTTTGTGATGCTGCAGAATGGTGGGTAGGTGCGCTTTGGTGTTGGAGGAATAGGTGGGGAGGTAGCGCACCGTACCGTAAACTCTACCTCGTACTGAATGGAGGGAGGGAAATGTGGTGTGTGTGGGTTTCGGTTTGGTTGGTCAGTTCACTCTAGTGGGGTGGAAGGGTCCAGCTGGGCAGGGCGGGTGCAAAGGAGGTCAAGTTACCCGGCTATTGAAATGTTTGGTGGGCGAAAATCGACCCCCAATAAGGTTAAAGTATCATATCATCAAACCCCGCGACGTCCGGACTTTCCGACAATGTTACTCCCACGAATACCCACGATGGGGATCCTCCCATCTCTACGAAATATCTATGCAGGCGGCATTGGTAGCAACAGCGGGATCCTGCAGCAAGCCCGTCACGCAACACACAAAGCCTCCAAAGCCGCCAACGGCTCCAGTAACACCGCCGGGAAGAGGCTCGGTGCTAAGAAAACCGCCGGTACTCTCCCACGCTTTCCCCCCTCCCTTCCAATCCCAGACTAACAAATGCAAAAGGCGAAAGGGTAGTCCCTGGAATGATAATCTATCGCCAACGCGGCACCCTCTGGTTCCCGGGAGAAAACGCCGGTATCGGCCGTGACCACACGATCTTCGCCCAGAGCACCGGCTACGTCCGTTACTACCGCGACTCCGGGCCCAAAAAGCGCAAGACCATCGGCGTAGCCCTAACGCCCAACCAGCCACTCCCGCGCCCGCCCAACGCTGCACGCACTCGCCGCCTCGGCCTCGAGCCAGTCCCCCTCGCCGAGAAGGAGGATGTCAGCGTGCCGCAGGGGACGCCACTGACGCAGGAGGACTGGGCGAAGGCCGCGCCCGGCAGCTATATTCCCCGTCCGGAGAACTGGAGGATTGGGAAGGTTATGGGACCAGTCGTTAGGAAGAAGAGTGTTTTCGAGGGCTTCGAGAGGAGTGCCAAGAGGAAGGAGGCTATGCTGAAGAAGATCGCACTGAAGGGGGGAAAGTCTAGGGTTAAGGCGAAGGCGAAGACGAGGGCTAAGAAGGCGAAGGGAGTGTGAACGAGTGAATGTGTGGTGAAGGAATGAGTGGGATGCGGATAATGGGTGTATATATATCTGGGAATCTGGGAATGTAAGTTTTGGCTTCAGTGGTTCCGGCTGGAAGTCGTCCGGGTATTGGAAGGAAGTTATTCCGAGCTGCACCACGCAGTGTCCTATCATAGCGCATCACTCGGTTTCGATTTTCGAAGTAACGGCGGCATTGTTCCTTTCTCGCACAAGCCGAGCAGAGCACCTGTCACCGGCATCGAGCGCAAAGGGCGCCATCGCTTTTCGTCTAGTTTTATCGCGATCGTTCAAATTGGCGGAGCGGTGTGACACCTTTTCCTGGTGGCTCCGTGGCTTTGCGAAATAGTATGAGTGCCTCCCGCAAGGCCTTTCACCGGAATTTTGATTGTGGAGGGCGAGTGTCGACTGGTGCCCCCCTAAGTAATTAACGGTGAAACGGGTGCTAAAGGTGCTATTAACTCTAGCTAAGCACCGAATACTCCCGGCCTCTTTTACTTTCCAAACTATACCAATACAATATGCTAGGTTACCATTAGTAGATCAAACTAAACGCAGGTCCACGTCAATAACATATGATATCGGGCTCACACTGGTGTGCTGCGGAGTTATAGCTATGACATGTGTGCACCTGTGTGGTTACGTAGAACTCTCGAACGGAAGCCTCTAAAGTGTTAATTTTGGAGGGGGGGGACTCTTGGGATTATGATATCACGAAAGGTGTGGAGTTCCTGCGTTGGAGCGGAGGTAGGGCTGCTTGAAACTTTTTTGATAAGAGATATGGTGCGGGAAGGTGGGAAGCAGCATGTCGCCCCAGCCCAAACCATGTACAACCCACAAGTCATAATAATTATTATATAAAAAAAGCCGAACGGCAATTTTCTGTCATAGGAGCCAGAGTCTGCGAAGATTGTGGAGTTTTAGTTGTGGCTTACTTTTGGGTGTGGGTCTCGGGGGTGGGTGGGGGTGCGGTTCCGTTCTTCCCGCCCCTCCGCCCCACATCTGCTCCGGCGGCCGGGCCTCGCATTGGGGTGCCGGTTAGGCCTAGTGCTTACGGGCCCTCTTGCGAGGGTTTAATTGGCTTGTCCGCTAGGAGTGTAGCTTAGTGAAGACGGGAGGGAGGGTTGCGCTCACATATTCTCACCTGCCGTACGGGTCCATGCCTCGAAGCAACCTTGACTCAGCCGGCTGACTAATCCCCCAAAATGCAAGCTCATGATCCTATTCACGAAGGAATTTCTCTCCAAACTAGAGCAGGCCAAGTAACGTTGTGCCCTTCCCGAAACGCACACTCCCATATGGCATCCCGATCGAGAAAGGCCTCGTCTCTCACCATCTCGTCTCCTATCTTACAATGCCTACAATATCGCACCCCACCCTTAGCTCTCCTCCCCTTACCACGACGTATCCAGACCGCCGCTGAAGGTGGAGGGACAGGGAGATATCTGCCTCCCCGAAAAATTATTCATGCCCGACCTCAGAAGCGAGCACCATTCCCGATTCGAAATCCCCGGCCGTTCGCGGTCAATGATGACCCTGCAAGGCTGAACGAGATGTACACTACTCTGCTTGGGAGGGACATGGGGCTTACCGATGAGGTTAAATGGCAGGCAGTTACACATAAGAGTTTTGACCACGGACACCAGCCATTTAATGAGAAGTTGGCTATATACGGTATGTCTTTTCTGTATGACAATTGGGAGGCCTGAATGGGGGGGCATAGAGAGGGAGTCATGTGTGCTAACTATGGGCAAAAAGGTAAACGGGTTTGTTGGCTACATGCTTCACTCCATTTACTGAATGGCCCACCGATCGAGGATAAGAGGGTCTATGAACCTCCTAATTTCGTATCTTCGTTGGACGGAACGCCATACCGCAAGCCGGAACCATTTCTTCATAGGGATTACAAGTCGCTGGTCTCAATCAAGGATAGGAACATCCGGGCCATTCTCGACCCGGGAAAGTTGGCTACTATTGCCCGTCTTGTACGGCTGGACAACGTTATGAGGTGGAAGCCGAAAGACGTATGATCCACTTCTATATTTTCCTGAGTTGTAGAAACAGGACTGACAGCGCGGGGTTGGTGGGGCAGAGCGATAATCTCCACGAGTCCGGACAAGCGTTGGTAGCAACTCAAGCTTTGTATGCGATTGTTGGCGCGCTAGCATTACAAAGAGGGGGAGATATCGCTGGGGGTGTGGTCCGAGAGAGACTCCTTTCGAGTATTGATTGGGTGCTGGAGAAGACCAAGGACATGGAATCATGAAAAATGTGGGTTGTAATTCGGCGGATGTTCATACGAGAGTTTGCGGCCAGACTCTAGAAAAAGTTAAATAACCGATAAACACGCCAAAACTTGTATTGTGCGGGTTATATAATGTGGGAACCACTGCTGTATATACCACGGAATTTGGAATTCTTAAAATCGAATTTTTTCTCGTTTTTATTTACACGGTGGGGTTGTTGGGGGGATGCGAGACTTGGGAATTTTTTTCGTCGCCAGTCTGCCCTATGTGCGTGCGTTGCCAAGGATGTTCCTGCTTTCCATCTCCACACCACTCTTCGAAAGTGGTCCTTTTTCATCCCTTCCTCTTTCCCTCTCTCCTTCTCATCAACACACCTTCGCTAGCACGACCAAACCCCCTAACATCAAGGCACTTACCTGGTACGTATCATGTCTCTTTACTAGTACACTGCTCGTGCTTCCTTTTTCCCCTACAATGATGACCACCTGGATCGACTACCATACAGAGGGGAATGACTTTTTCTTCCTCTTGTGATGATAATCCGTGACCAAAATAGACTACAACGGTATCTGAGCAAGCACTGTTTTCAATCATGCAAGAAAATTGGCGGGGTGTTTGATCATAGCTAATCAACCCCCGGGCAGGCTTTTGAGATTCGTCAACTCGGGGTTTTTTTATTCATGGTTCTCTTGATGAGAATACAAAAGCGGTAGGATTTTTTTTTTCTGGTTTGGGTTTAACACCATGTTCCCCCTTCTGCAGTGATGACTTTTTTTTATCCTTTTGAGAGGGAGAAACAAACCTTTTCTCACCTCCTTGAAAACCAAATTTAAATCAACAGACTACAACGGTATCTGATTAGCGCACACTTTTCCCACCATAATGCATCTTTTCTTCACTTGTTAATTTGTCGTTTCTAACGCTCAAGGTGTTTAGGATCTGATGACTAGCTCACCTCCGCTCTCCACTACCGCGCCAACACGATACAAGAAACCTAATTATCACCTTCTCCATGCTCTCCCTCTTCCACTTAGCGTTAGCCCGCTTCCACCATTGATACCACATAACCCGCTCTCTTTGATTCATATAATCATTGCGTATCTTTTCCCCTCTAATCCGTCTCATCCTTCACCTCTACACAGAGGCTTTTTTCATGCTTCTACTAGGTCGGTGCACATCACCGATCCAGAGACAATCAAGGCCTTCTGGAATCACGGTTTCTTTGGAAAGGGAAATTTGTCTCGTAGTGAGCCTACATGGGTGACACGTAGAAGGCGAGCTTTGGGGGTGATTGGCCGAGATGAAGCGTTGACAGCGGAAGAAGTTACTGAGCGACGCCGAGGGGAGAGAAAAGAGTTCAAAAAGGAGCGTGCTCGACTGGAAAAAGAGAAGCTTGATAGACAGCTAGCCGAGGAAGGCAAGCTTAACCCGGAGGGGAATGAGGACCAGGAGGGGACAGGCTCTGGTAGTAGCAGTAGTGCAGCAAGGGCTGTTCATTTTGCCCCGTTGGAGTCACCTAGTAGTCGGCGGCGGAGCTTGGAGAGGCCGGTCGCCGACGTGGAGGATATAGAGCATTTGCAATTAACTCTTGAAGAGGCGTTCTTCTTATCGTTCGGACTGGGAGTGCTGGAATTGACGGATGCTGACACTAACGTACGTATCTGTATATATGAATATAAAATTTCCCTGCACTCCACCGAGTCGTTCGGGTGAATATAAAAACTGATCCAAGTGATGGCCACAGAAAAAAATCTCCCAGAAGGATATGCTCCGGCTGTTTCGCGGTCACGCGTGCTTTCCCCCTCGGGATCCGCAGAGTAGTTTTGAGCCGGATGACCCCTTCATGCTTAGCTATGTTGTGTATCACCACTTTCGCTCCCTGGGGTGGGTTGTCAAGCCTGGTGTAAAGTTTGCTGTAGACTACTGTGCGTATGCACTACCAACCTACCTCGCTGCATGCTAACGATAGGCAGTGCTGTACAACCGCGGACCGGTGTTCTCTCACGCCGAATTTGGGGTCCTGATTCTCCCAGCCTATTCACACACCCACTGGGCCAACGACAAATCTCGCAAGGAGGGCAAGGAGCTGCGACCATGGCACTGGCTGCACAGCATCAATAGGGTAAGTTCGCAGGTGAAGAAGACTGTTGTGTTGGTCTTTGTTGAAGTGCCGCCGCCGCTGGATGATGACGGGAAAATCGGTGTTGCTGATCTTTTGGCAAGATATAGCGTTAGGGAGGTGGCGTTGAGGAGATGGCTGGTTAGTCGTAACAGGGATTGAGCGGATTTGCTTCACTCTACTCTAGTGTATCTTTTTCTAATTTCCTCCTATCCCACCTTTACTACACTACTGGGTGGCGTTGGGCGGCGAGGACAGGGCGTTTTCTGTATGGCAGTGCGGGATTGCCGTGGCTCTTGTTTGTAAAAGTATTGTAAAACCAACCAACAGGAAATTCTTATTACCGATTTCCCATTCCGCTTCGTGTCGGTGGAATAGAAGATACAAAAGAGGACCGGAAAGCATTCTACCCAAACGTAAACCACAAAGCCCGAAAAACAAATATATCATACATCCTACCCGTTCCTTTTGGAATCAATACCTCCTCACAGTAGTCCCTTCCGCGCCAAGTCCACCTTCCTCCCCACAAATCCCGCCCTCCCACTGCGACTCAAGCAAACCGCAATCCCATCCGCGTCCAACTCAAACTTCTCTTCAACACCTGGCCATGCGCACGGGCAATGCGTCGGCTTATCCACGCACGCCAGTGTTCCCGGACATAGGTAGTTGCTACAAGTTGCTACGCACAAATTCCACCCATTAGTATTTCTCACGCGCGAAAAGGGGGTGGGGATGCTTACCACTATCGTAAGTCTGCCGGTACCAGCTTGAGTCGCTGGGGACGTTTCCACGCTCGCGTTGGTTGGAGGAGGAGGATGAGCCGAACATTTGGTCGAAGAAGGTGCCGAATTGGGCGGTTGTTAGGGGAGCCGATGACAGAAAGAGGAGGAGGAGGGGGAGGAGGGGGGTTGTTGGGCGCATGGATATTGTGGTGCTTGTGTTTGCTGGTAGTGATGGTGGTGGTGGTGGTGGTTGAGGTTGGTCGATGAAGTGAGGCGACGGATGGGAGGGAGAGGACCGCTTGGTGGTTTGGAGTTTCATGCTGGTTTTTGTATGGTAGGGGGTTGGAGATCGTGGCGGTGGCTTGGCGATCATGGGGCGTCACTCGAGGCCGTGCTTCGCGTTCGGGTTTTTCGCGAGGTGTTTTGTCACAGGGGTGGCCTCGAAGTTTGGTGCTAATTCGCTCGTTCCGTCGATTGGGGGATTCGTTTGGTTAGCACTGGGGGAAGAAAACTCGCTCGATTGAACATAAGTTAAAGCGTGTCCGGGAACAAATTTTTTTTCTTTTTCCTTTTTTTTTATACTGAAATTTTGGATCTGGATGGGTGCTTATTGGGACGGGTGTATGTCAGACAGACCTCATGGGCGGGTAGAAATTCCTTAGGAGTGGTCATTTCTCGAGGAAGGAGGTATGGCCAGTTTGTGAGTTTTAGACGGTTTAGATGCGATACGCACTTTTCGAGGTATGATAGGCTGCCTTAAGGCCTTTGGCTGCTCAGTGCATGTATAATCAGTGACTCTTCCAAAACATCTTTTCTGGCAGTTTTTTTTTCTTTGTCACGGATAGAGATCTTGTCGCTACCAATGTGCCGTGAACATCTGACATGTGTTCTCGTTTATCACCCCTTGCCCGTCATCAGAAACGGGCTCACTTCAGGGTACTGTACTTATCCTTGCCGGATAATGCTCCCGTCTATCCTATCTGCCCTTCCTCTTTTAACCAACCTTGCCTTCATAGTGATGTGCGCTTTTGGGCCTATATATGATATATTCCCTATTATAAACCCCCATAGGGGGGGGGGAGCTTTAAGAATACCATGGAACCCCAAGCGCCCCTGCGGAGATATACGGGATGGCTTACACTAGAAAACCTGGAGGGATACCCAGTGGATGTATCCGGGGCACCAGCCAGGACTGTAGCCGGTCCTCGACCGTTAAACTATGACCCTGCCAAGAACGATTGTATAGTTGAGGGTGAATGATTGGGCAAGCTGGTTTTTATCTCCTTGTGAGGGATTGCTGGTGCTGGTGTATGGTGGAAGGAGCTTGGAACATGGGAGATACTTGGGGTGGTGGTGATGGGTAGATTAATTAGTATTTCCTAGTACTTTTGATGGTTCTGGTACTTCGCAGGGGTGGTAGATATTTTTTTTCTTCCGTTTTTGAGAGGATCAGGATGTAAAGGGCTTTGTGGGATGTACTTTTGTGGCCCAAGATGAGTACATGCAATGTCGCGCAGACACTGGGCAGTCTGAGTTCATAGGCTGGTCCGGTTTGCGATGTATATGCAGTGTATTTGAGCTTTGTTTGGGCAGTTCATTCTCGTGGCTGGACCTGTTAGATTGTTGGGGGATTATTCACGTATGATCATCTACATACTGTATATTGAATAGTTCGTGGTCAGACGGGCGCCATTTGTTAGTGGTGATACGAGTATGCGCTGTTGGCCACCTGAGTGATACTGGGTTAAGGACGTTAAGTTTAATGTTGCAAGATATTGTGGGGTTTTAAAAAAGGAGGTAAGCGGGGGGGGCTTTAGTTACCGAATAGGACCTGGTAGGTCTTTGTTTGTGGTGGTTTTTATTGTCAAGTTCCTTGAGGACCCTAGGCTCGTGCCGATTTTGATTCGCTACTACAGTTGGAGTATCGTTTAGATCAGGGATGTTTGGAGGTTGGAGAGCTTGGGAGTGTGATAGGAGAGCGTTTGGGTGGTATAAAATATCACGGTAGGTTTTGTGTCAGTCAGTCTGCGATGCTTTAACGGCTCTTTGCGAAGAAAGGAAATGGTGAAGGTCCGCAAGCCGTATTCATAGGAACTTGGTACCAGCTATAGCTTATTCTTCTTTCCTTAGCTTTCGGACTTCCTAAATTGTGCTGGGAGACGAGCTGGGGGTAACTGCTTGCCCAGTCGTGGAGGAGGACATTGTGGTGTTCCGTTCAGGAGATAGAATAGCTCTGAGGGGGTTTCACCCGAGCTATCCATGGGGGGGTTGAAAGGAACGGAATAATTGTCTAGGTTTAGTATGAAGTTTGTAGCCTATCATAATATCGCTGGAGGATAAGGAGGTGACTCCCAATTCTCGGGTGGGGCAAAACCTGGTTTTACAAATAAAATTGCTCCATAACCGGTAATATTATGATACTGCCGCTGGTTCCATATATAGCACTCTTTAACCAGCTCACCAAATTCTCTTTTCCCCTCCCAGCAACCCCCACCTTTCCACCACAATGCTTGCTTCCATCTTTCTAACTCTGTCCCTCCTCTTCGTGGGCTATGCCTGTTATTCCGTCCACACTCTCGTCCTCAAGGTCCGCCCGCTGGGCATTCCGTACTTCGTCATTCCCTTCTACCCCTCCCCCCTCCCACGAATCTTCCTGGTCCCTTTTGTAAATCTCCTAATAAATGTGTTTAACCTCACTCACGTCTGGTTCTACCTACTAACCCTGGACTGGCAAGTCCGCCAACGTTACGAAATCTACCGCTTCATTGGATCTGACCTATTCTTTACAATTACCCCGTGGGAGGTAATACTACATGTTGCTGACCCCGACATGGCAGTTGAGGTCCTTTCGGGAAAAGGCCAGAATGGGGAATTATATCCTAGGACAGAGATTGTTGGTAGGATGATGGGGCTTTTTGGGAAAAATATACTTACCGCGGAAGGGGCCGTTTGGAGGGGTCACAGAAAGGTGACCGCCCCAGTGATTGGGAACTCGTGAGTGCTCTAATTCCTACTTCTCTTGTGATTTCCTTAGGCTAGCAAGTGGTGTAGGCTATCAATTGTCTGGGAAGAATCCTTAACTCAAGTTAAGGAAATGCTCCAATATTACGACAAACAGGAAGACATAAAAACCATCCACAGGGATTTTCGCAGAGTAACCCTCGGGGTTATTTCTCATGCTGGGTTTAGTAAAGTTATGAACTGGGTTCCGCTCACTACCACCATCACAAGCGGGAAAGATGGGGAAGGGAGTTACCAAAAATGTCTCGATATCCTATTTGAGAACTTCGAGTGGACCGCTATTGCGCCGAGTTGGCTTTTGGGTTAGTGTTTCACCCTACCTATTCGTTAATGAGTGAAGTGTGCCGACGTGAATGTGTGGTGTGTGTATAGAAATGCTACCTGTTAAGGCCTCACGGGAAGCGGGAGGAGCGGTCAACAGATTCAGGTTTTTTACAAATGAATGGTTTGAAGAGAAGAAGGCTAAGGTTGAGTTGGACAATAAGACCACACTTAAGTCTTCTTCCAGAGTGGACTTGATGGGTACTATTACTACTTCTGCGTTTTCCAATAGGGAGACTTACTAACACGTATTCAGAATCATTGGTTAGGAGTTCTGGTCTAGACGAAGGCTCAACCGTAGAAACACCATTGCTCTCGAAATCAGAGGTTATCGGGAATACATTTGTACAAGGGCTCCCTTTCACCAATGGCATGTCGCTAAGAGTTGATAGATATTTATCCTAGCTGGCCATGAGACTACCGGCCACACACTTGCGAACGCAATATACTTTCTAGCAATGTATCCGGAGTACCAAGTTAAACTCCAAAATCAAATTGACAGTGTCTTGGGAAGTACTAATCACAACGAAACATCATACGACAAGCATTTTGATGCTTTTTCCTCAGGCTGGATGGCGGCTATTATGGTATACTTCCACCCCTATCTTCACCTTGGTCACCAGCTGAAAGAGTGAATAAAAACAACAGCTTGAAACCCTCCGCCTCATCCCCGCAGCAATAGTTGTAAGCCGTCAAAACGGTCCCACGGCTCGTACCTTTCCCCTCAGCGGTCGGGGCCCCATCACCCTACCCCCGGGAATCCAATTCTGGGTCGAGCTAATTGGCCTGTCCCACAACCCAAAACATTGGACCCTGCCCGGGAAAACTGAAGCCGAGTCCGCAATCTCCGAATTCCGTCCTGAACGCTGGCTCCCGAAATCAGAAGGCGATAGCATGTTCAAGCCCTACAATGGGTCATACATACCCTTTTCTATCGGAGCCCGCGCGTGCATTGGAAAGAAGTTCGCACAGGTCGAATTTGCTGCCGTTATGGTGGGGCTGTTTCGGGAAATGAATGTTGAGTTTGACTTATGTGGGGGGAAGAAAAGCTTCGAAGAGGCTAGACGGGAGTGTTTGATGCAGATGGAGAGGTATGAGACTATAATTACCTTGAGGCCTACCGGAGAAATGCCTGGTATCAAGTGGGTGAGGAGGAAGAAGTAAGCGGCTGGCTGGGTAAGTATCAATAGTCGGAAAGCTTTCTGCAAAACCTCGGCATAGGCGGAGTAGTTATGTTTTGTTGAAATGTGCCCTTGGGTGGTGAAACAGATGACATGTAGATGGTACTGGAAGCTGTGGTTTGCCAACCTGAGTGATATGATATAATACCTCTACTATAACTACTGTAAACCTACTCGAGTTCATACTATCATACGTACAGTATCAGAATATTTTACTCGCCGCTTCCAAGCAAGCTAACCATCAAACTGGTATACGTGACATAACATCACAGTGTCCAAACACAAGTCAAATCACAGTCACCATTTAAAACACACCATCAGGTCCCATAGACTCTTTGCACCCCTCCTTCTGAATATAAATCCAAAAATTCCACTATCAACAGTCTCACAAGCACTTGTAGGATTAACCAGTCCTAGATTAATGGATCATACTATCTTGCAACTACTCCAACAATATCATCCCTTCAACAATTTAAATCATCAATGTATCATAAACAGAAAACCAGCAATACAATTTGTCCCAACATGCTTCTTTTTAATAACACATACTGTGTTGTCACAGCCTATCTGTAAGTATAGGTCATCCAGTACACCTCATACTTCTTTTCCACTAGAGTGCAGACATTCTTAACATACTATAACACAATAACAACTATAAATTCCAGACTCTTCTCCTAGTCCTCCCACATCCTCCTCCAAAACCATTCCATCTATTGGGCTTCACATTCTAGTCTTTGGTTAAAGTGCCTCTGAACCAGCTGTTACTTAC